TGGGTTCGGAAATATGCGCAAGAGCATACCCTTGTATTTCTACCATGATTGACACTTTAGAGGCAGCAGCTACAGCTGAAGACTTTCTGTATGGGCCTGGAATAGATGACTCTGTGTAAGTTAAAAAATAAATGTTTTAATTACGTGTAATCAGCTTTTGAAACTTTAAACGCGTTTTTCTCGAAACTACGTTTTCAAAGTCGGTGAGCAAGATATCTCAAAAACTACTGCAACAATCTTTCTGAAATTTTTTGTGCTTTTTTTAGATATAAAAATCTAGTGTTTAATCGAAGGATTTTTTTTTTCTATGTATACTTTCGTTTTGATGAACGAAAAATGTCCGGTTTTTTTCGCAAAAATCAAGACTCTAACTTTAAACACCCGCCATTTTGTTTTAACTTAATATTTCGGAAATTACATCGATTAACCACTAGATAAACTAATATACTAACGAAATCTTTTTGGTTTTTTTATTTTAGATAACCTCTGGTTCCGAACGGCAGTGCTCACTGCAAAAGTACTTTTCAAAAAGTGCTTCCCGGACATCGGCTGTAACTTCCTTATAAATAAATATTTTTACACGAAAAAATTACTGAATGTTCTTCAAATGTTACTGTTTCAAATACAAAACTTTTGTACAAATATATGCTTATGATTTTTCAAAAAAAATTTTCAAAAATTCGATTTTTTTCGGCCTCCTGACTGCGTATAACCCCTTAATTGCTACCTTTCGCTTCGCTAAGCAGAGGTTCGGCTGAACGCAGCCAATGCCTCTCAACATTAATTATATTTACTACTTACTGCGTATGTTGTATTAAAGTCGCAAAAGTTAAACACACAATATTTTCCGCACAACAGACGCACGCGACAAATAAAGGTGGAAGCACATAAAATTGCAGGAACCATAAGCAGAAGGCAGAAGCCATATGCGCATGCGCATATGGCTTCTGCCTTCTATGGCTCCTGCAATTTTATGTGCTTCCACCTTAAAGCGGAAAGCACACACTTCTGCACAACGCATAATACGTACGTAAGCATAAGATAATTGATTGGTCTATTTCCTTATGCACATGTGTATGGACCAATCAATTTTCTTATGCTTACGCATTATGCGTTGTGCAGAAGTGTGTGGTCCCCGCTTTACACCATGGATAGAATATCGCCGCATTAGCGAGTAAAGACCTCTATGAAGCTAGCCGACAGAAATTACTAAATTTGATAATTTTTAATTTTTTTAAGTGTATTTCGTTTGTAACTTTGGACCCTCCCCTGCCCGCAACGTAGCGTCTACACATGGGGACTTTTAATATGTTAAATAGTACCCTAAAACAAGCCTGTTTAAAAAGTTTCAGCCCAGTCAGTATTATTTCCTCCAAATTTTGTCATTTTACTGGGCCAGTAGTTCAAATTATATACTTTGTGATGTTAATAAAGTAATTCGAAAAACAATAATTATTTGCCAGAAAAAAATCCTTAAAAATAACCTTTTTTTAAAGCTGTTACACTGGTTTCCCCCCTTAAAAAAACTTTAGTACTTAATAACTCTTTTTTAATTGAGAGGGACCAATTTTAACTTTACATATTCATGTTTTATGCACCAAAATACACAAAATTGTGAAGTTTCAAGCAAATCGACGAAGAAGTCCTTCCTCTTTACGTTAACAAAAATCATATAATTTTATTTTTAAAATATATGAATAACTTTAAATTTTAAAAAATTTATTTTACCATTAGTTGTCCCTTCTTCCATACAATGTTTGCCTGCTGGACTCAGTTTTCGAGATATTTGACTGGACTGTTTAGAAAACGGGACATTCTGTACATTTTTTTAATTTAATTCAATACAAAATATATTTAACTTTTAATATTTAACTTTTTCTTTGTAGTTTGCCACTTTCTTGCTATCCTTGACAAATATCTTAATAATTATAAATATATTGATTTTCAATTACTGAGATATTTATCTCATAACGAAAGAAATCCACAGTAAGTATTAATAAAACAATGTATTTTAGATTCGCTTTATATACAGACATACATAACATACATTTCTCCTATGCTATCATATAAATATCAAAACACAGATAATTTAGCCTTGTTCTTCCTTTGATCCTGTTCGGCAGCGATACTTTTCTCAGAAGCCCTTAAATTAGTAAGTTCTTTCTGCTTTTCGTTATACTTCATCGCAATGTTATTATAAAGCACACTACCCTTGGCATGCTTTGCTAATGATTCTTTGAGCTTCGATGATTCCTTTTCTAAACGATTTATGTTTTCTCCAATTTGAAAACTGGCTACATTTAGATTTCTGTTGGATTCTGTTCTAAGTTTATCTCTACTTTGCGAACTATTAGCTGCATCTTCTTTAACTGTAAAAGAATAATTAATAATACTTAAATATAATGTACATATGTACATTAATCATATAAATTCAATATTGGTTTTTCTTCAACTTACGTTTATCACCTAAAGTTTTATTTATAAAATTAAACACATTGCTATCCTCCTTTTGTTTTTCTCTTCGATACTGCCTTTCTCTTTGCTGCTCTAATTTTTGTTGTTGTTTACGCATTTTACGTTCCGCGGAAAACAAATCTTTATCATTGCCAGCAAATTCACGTAATTCCATGCAGTGATCTGGAAAATAAAGCAAGTTAATAACGTATTACACGATCGAAAAAATTTAAACAAACCTAATGATTTCCCTGCTGGCAAAACTTGAGCTTCAACAGGTTGTATTCTACCATCGCTCTGTTTTCCAAGACCAGTACCAATTACATAACCCATTTGCATCATTAATTTGCTACCAATGCCACGTGTATGTCTTTCCCAATTTCCTAAAGGTTCATTGGATTGTAACGTCAAAAGAGATTTGTGAACCAATTGATCATTTATACACGAATTAAATTCGAAATCGTTATTAATATTATTAGCATCTTCGTCATCGCTATCATCAGATGTATCTGACATTTCTAAGTTTGTGTCATCTGCAAACATAATCAATATTTTTTTCAAAAACTGAATATAAAAAAATGTGTACATTAATTAATTTTTAATATTAGTTTACCGAGAAGCAAGAGATCTTGTAAACCAGCTTCTACAATTTTGCCACTCGATTCAAACTTAACTCTGTATTCATCTTCATTCTTTTCAGGCAATTTTAAAACAATGGATCTATGCCACATACTGTTCTTTTGTTTAGTTAACACTTTACTTCCTACTTTAATGTTACGGAAATCAGGTTCCCTGCAAATCAAAAGTTACCACTGAAGTAAGTTCTAAATAATATAAATTTGTTTTAACTGATCAAGAAGAAATACTTGTACTCCTGTAGGCTTGAAAACGGCACAATTTCGCCATGGCAATAATGGCAATTCTCGTCAGAAAACTTGCAGCTACCGTTGAGAAAATACGGACATGGAATCATTTCTTTGTGTGTCGGATTGAGAAAGAAAACTCGAACCTAAAATAATCAAATTTAGGAGTTAAAAAGAGAAGCAAGAGTAAATAACAAGTTGAAATATATGACAATTTTTAGTACAATCAGTATGGTTAACTTGCCTTAATGTCATGGATATCTTTAATCTCTTCGTCACTGTCTCTATAAACAGAACATACCATAGCATTGTGATAACTAATACCACCCCAAGTACTGCCATGAGGAGCTTTACATTTCATACCCTCCAGCTCCTTTAATTCATCCTAAAAGGTCAACTTGCACCGTATAATTGTGTCATTGCTATGACATAGAGAATAGTTGTATACTGACTTCGATGTTATCAGAAGCAGCGATGGTTCTGTCATCCTGTTTATCTTCACTGACATCTGATGAGTTTTCCAGCTCTGCCTAATAGATTTAAGCAATGTGTTTAATAATACGTCAAAGCTGTCTTTACATTATATAACTTTACATACCAAATATAAATATAATATTTTAGATATGGATTCATAACGCTTAAAAAATATAATAATACGCTGTAATAAAACCTGCATGTAATAATAAAATATACTTTACAATATTATTCTATTTTAGTCAATTTATTTATCTTTGATAATAATAATTTTAATTTAATTAATAAAAAAATATAGGACAGTAAAACAGGCTAGTCCACTGGCAATGACTATGTTTACACACCTGCTTATAATTCTATTTAATAACTACCGTATATTATCCGATCCAAAATTTTTCTCCTTTTGATCATTTAAATATGAACCCATCTTGATATTCTGAACATTTAAATCAATTTTTGATATTTATATACTAAAAAAGTTGTAGTTTAAGTATCAAACAAGACTCATATCTAAATAATCATTATGATAAAAAAAGGAAAATTTTGGATCGGATAGTATACAGTAGTTATTAAACCGGATTATAAGCTGCCGTCAATAACTACGTTTACACGGCCCGATTTACACCAAAGTTATAATATGTTATAACTTCGGCGTAAATCAGGCAGTGTAAACGTAGTCAATGATTAAAAATCATTTCTAAGACAGACCTTGAACAAGGCATATTCTTTGTCCAATAGATCTTTTATCTTGTCATCTTCATTTTTGTTTTCTACATCCCCTTCAAGAGTTTGCAAACTTTCTTTCGTCAAAGATATGAGCTCCTCAATATCAGATTTCAGGCTAAGTAAGTTGTCTCTGTCAGGTCCTTTTGGCATTGTAGACAGTGTCGTGTCTACTTGTGACAACTGAAAAAGTAAATAAAAGGCGCTAAGTAAAAATAAATTGCGATAAACTTGTATGAAAATTATGTTTCGTCATGAATGGTTGATACATATAAATTTCTGATATTGACATACCTGGGTTTTATACTGCTCAATAGCTTCTTTTAAACTTCTCACGTCTGTCATACTGGACAATCACTACGAAACATATAAAAAAACAATTGCAACTTGCAACCACTCGCGATAATTCTTCTTTTTCTTCTTTTAATTTTGATCTTATTCCAGATACGGTTCTTGCCTCTTTTCAGAGAGCATAGAGCAATACGCAATACGGCCCAAAACTTAAAACTGTATGATAACCAACTCGGTAAGTAACTGTTTGTAATGAACAAGGCGAGAGCTTATAGTTGGTTGGCAAACCTCAATGAAGTAGCCAGCGGCACACGGAGCACGGAGCATGTTTTCACCAACGTATAATAGTTGGCAAAAAAATTAAAAATTATTTATAATTATCTTTTCCGATCGTTTGGAAATCATTTGGAGAAATTTGGAAAAAGGTATTTATATAGAATAGCTACTGCACCTCAAAAATTAATAAAAATAGGCTCAATCGACGCATTTTGGCACGAAACGAAAGAATCTGGCAGAAAAATGCGGCGGTCTGCCCTGCGAAGCGAGATATTTAGCGTTAAAGTTGATGATTCTTAGGTTAGAAATCCTGTCATACCGACGTGATGTAGCGATCATGAATGAACATGCCCCGCGGCCACACGCGCATGCTCCGTGGTCGCACGCGCATGCAAAAGTGTGCGAATTTTAAACGTATGCATACTTATAATGCATAAATATGGTAATTGTTTAGATGGGGGGAATCACCTTGGATGACCTTGATATTTTAGTATGTTGTCAAGGTCATGGCACCCTTCTGAGTGACCTTCAGAAGGTTTCAGCTCGCGCTCGTTATTCGTTAAAAAGTTATTAATAAAATCTGGAAAAATATAAAAAAAATTTGGAAAATATAGCAGCTATTTTGAGTATTGGAAGGCATAAATAACTAATATATACGTGTGTGTGCCCTGCTTTAAAGAAAATCACAACTTCTATAAAGCAGGGCAACACACGTGTGTGTGTGTGTGCCCTGCTTTAACGAAAATCACAACTTCTATAAAGCAGGACATACACACATGTGTGTGTGCTCATGATCGCTACATCACGTCGGTATGACAGGATTTCTAACCTAAGAATCGTCAACTTTAACGTTAAATATCTCGCTTCGCAGGGCAGACCGCCGCATTTTTTTGCCAGATTCTTTCGTTTCGTGCCAAAATGCGTCGAATGAGCCATTTTTTATTAATTTTTGAGGTGCAGTAACTATTCTATATAAATACCTGGAAAAAACTTTTTAGAGTTTGGAAAACCATACAATAATAGAAAATCAATGAAAATCAATTAAACATATGTTGGCAGACATATAATCTAAAAAAAAATTTTTTTTATCCAATCGCTCCAGAATCATTTGAATAAAGTGTCGAAATATATTTTATTGTTTGGAAAACTACTTTATTTTAATAAAAATTAATTAAGGGGATCCTAGACAAGGGACACAATTACCGACAAAGACAGTCAGGGACCGGAAATAAGTTGGCGCTGCAAGTTCATATTTTTTAATTTACTATAGCTCAAACGATTGCTCCCTAATTGCTCCCTCAGAATCGACGATTGCTCCCCTTTTAAGATTATTATTTTTTGAGATATTTAATAAAAACGAAAAATTTCTAATTTTTATTGAAAAACATATTTATAATAACTCTATGCAACTTTATAGGGCATAGAACGATTGCTCCTTCATTGTTCCTTATTGCTCCATCATAATTTTAATGATTTATTGCATTTTTATTGAAAAATTAACAAATTAATCATTTCACAAGTAACGCCGCCGCCGTCACTATCGACCGCCTATTGTAACTATGGCTCGGCAGCCATTGGCGGAAATATTCAAACGTAATATAATAGCTCTATGGGCCGGTCTCACAGTCTCCGATTAACGTGATTCTCCGATTAAACTCACTCTTCGTCTCTTTCTAGGGGGATAGTTAGACAGAGATGCAGAGTGAGTTTAATCGGAGAATCACGTTAATCGGAGACTGTGAGACCGGCCCTATTGTTCATAACTATATCTCAAAGAGTTTAGTCAACATTTCCTAT